ACGAGCCCGTGTTCCCATCGGTAGAGTCTCTTGCGCTGTCCGGAAGAACCCGTTGAAAGGCGGGGGTCTGCCCATCACAGATGGGCACTTGCTTGAGAGACAGAGAGAGGGAGGGAGTGGAGGAGGCTTGAAACATCCATAAAATGTTTTATTCAAGTAACTGCAAATAGGAAACCAAGAGGTCTTTAACAATGGACCATGAAACACAACTTTCTACCAAGTGTCAGCCACTGCCCGCGCTCCTGCCATGCCCCTGCCCCACCTGGCAGGTGACCTCAACACACAGTAAAAGCTTTCCAACCAAGTGAACTGCGGACCCGCCTTTGCCGCCTCACTCTTGGCCTTCCCCGTGGAAATGACCCCCAGCTCCATTGCAGTTGGTCGTATCTAAAGGGTCTGAGTGATGTGGTGAAGACATGACCCCGGCTCAGAAGCCCTCAGAAACCTCCTCCAGGTGCACACCTCCTCCCGCGAGGCCTGGAGGGCGCGAGGCCTTGAGAATGAGGGGTCTGGCACAGATTCAGGAGGGAAGAGCAGCTTGTCTTCTACCCCATACAGCTGAAAGCAGCTGTGTTGTCTGCAGCACCTTCCCTCCAGCCCCCGAAACTCCTTCCTCAGGCTTGAGAGCATCACCTGGGGCAAACCCAAGCCCCACTATATCAAGAGGAAGGATTGATGCAGCAACGCCAAGGCCGTGCCCTGAGTTCGGCTGGGCTGTTCTGTTTAAGAAATGCCCACAAGTTGAACTTGGAGGTGGCTGAGCAGCCTGGGACAGCTTTGGGGTAAGAGGCATTGAGAGGAGACGGTGAGCTGATCCCAAGGGGCTGGTGGGAGGTGAAGGTGGGGTTTCTCCACTTGATGCCACAAGCCCCCTGGCCTGCAGCTTTCCCATTTCCTCCCAGTTTCCAGTGGGAAGCGCACGGGTGGTGCTGGGAAGTTGCCAGTCTGACCTGGGCACAAGGAGACCCTGGTATCTCTTCCACAGCACCCACCCTCCCTCCCGCCAACGTTCAGCTATGGGGAGGGATGTCTTCACCACACCACTTTGCAAGGCTCTATCCCTTTTAATAGTATAACCTAATATTTAAAAAAAAAAAAATCCCAGTCAAACCAACCTCTGCACTATAGGGTAAATTAATCACTTCTGGAGCAGGGGGAAAAGGAAAAAAAAAAAAAAAAGTACCAGGCAGACCATGTTGGAATAATAAACTGTGCAACCAGTAGAGCAGCAGTAACAGCAGCAGCATATCTGTGGTTAAGAGAATGGAACTTAAATTATCCAGAGGTAGTTATGAACGAAGGAAAAAGAGAGAGAGAACCTAGAAGATAAAGACCCTCCTTTGACTTGGGGCTTGGAAATGTGGCTGGGACGCCAGCTAGCCTCTTCCTGCTGCAGAGCTCCCCAGAGCTGGTAGGACAGAGGGAAGAAATGGGCAGTACTGCTTGGCAGAGTTCCCTTTTTGGTGGTGGAGACTTGCTCCATGCTCAGAGCGGCTCCGGCAGGCAAAGCTCCGGGGCAAAATGACCGTGTGTGGCCTCGGGTGGGCAGGGGCTGGGAGCCTGAAGTGACAAGGCAGCTACCAGTGCAACGGGGCATGGGTGTGTGTGTGTGTATGGGAGGGGGGTTTCTACAGTCTTATCTGGCTGTCTGCAGGGCACAGGCTTGTTTTCTTTTAAGGTTGGAGGGGAGATGCAAAGAGCAGGAGTGCTGCTCTCAGGGGACAGTGCCGGACACTGAACTTTAAGCAGAAAAGGATGTGGTTCTTGAGCACTGAGGCTTAAATATTCCCTCAGGGCAGTTCCCACCCAGCCCCAGCCCAGGCTGCGTCCCACTTCCAGGCTTGGGAGTGCAAATTGGTCTTGCCTGGTGAGGACCTGACTGCCAGCTGGGGCCTGTGCCCATTGCTGCCTGCTCCAGCCTCCAGCAGCCTGGGGTGCAACAGGGCTATTTCTGCTGGCAGCAGGGAAACTGCTCCCTCTCCACCACCAGGCCCTCTGGACATTTTTAAGACCCCCATCAAGAATTTGGGGTAATATTCTTACCCACCACTTCTACCAGCATTTCTCAAAGCGCTTTGCAAAGGCCAGGATCGCTCTGCCCCATTCTACCAGAGGGAAAAGGGAGGTGCAGGGGAGACAGGACATGCCCAGGGCAAGCCAGCAGGCCGGTGTCAGAGCTGGGCAGAGCACCAGCCTCATGCTGGCATGTTCCTGCCAGGGGAAGATTGCACAGCAGTAACCATCTCTCCTAACAGGGAATGTGACTCCGCTGAACTGAGAGCCACGCGGCCGCTGCTCGGGGGCTCTCCCGCAGCGGACGCTAAAGGCTGCCTGGGGCCCAGTGGGGATTATCCCTTCTACCCCCTTGCCAGGGGCCAGCAGAGTGCATGGCTGTGGGGAGCTCGGGCAGCGTGGGGACTGGCAGAGGGAAGAGGGGGTGGGTGGACTGGTGAAGGACCCCCACCCTCACCCCCACCGGGCAAGTTCAAAGTCTCCGTGTCTAAACCTTTCCGCTTCAGGGTCAGCTGCAGGGGGCGGGGGCAGGGCCAGTGCAAGTGCACAGCAGACCTGCTGGGGGCACCTAGCACTGCTGGCAGAAGCAGTGGGCTGCTGTCATCTGGTCAAAGCCCCCTGCAGAGCTCCCTGTGGGGGACGGCCTGCCTTATAGGGGGTCCTCTCAGCCACGCAGTGTCCGTCGGATTGTGCCAGACCCGAACACAGGCCACTGCTGCCAGCAGAGCTGCCGAGGCTAAGTTTACCTCCCCGCCACCCACCAAACTAGCCTGCAAACAAGGCTGGCAGTGGAAGGAGGGGACAAGGCAGGCTGTATTCAGGGCCCTCCGACCTTAGCTTGTATCCACAGCAGACCTTTAACCGCCGTACTTTCCTCCTGGACGGGCTTCTCTGCTCCCCTCTGCCATCAGCGAAGCATGGGCAGGAAATCTGCCTCTGCTTTGCTGGGGTGGAGATTGGGGGCTGGCACAAACCTACCCCCCCCCACGACTTGCTTAAAAAAAAATAATTCAAACATGAATTTTAAAATGCAGACAACTGAGAGCCCCGCCACCCCATTTCCCTACTGGAGGCCTATCGCAAACCTGCCATCTAGAGAGCAGCTGATCTACAGGGGCCCTCCCTCCAGGAATTTCACTAGGAACAAAAGAAACTACAGAAACCAGTAGGCTAAATGTTAACCCTGTCCAATAAGAGAGAACTGGGAGAGAACGTCCTCCCCCTTCGTTACCACCGCCGGCGCGCGCGCAGCTGACGGCCTGTCGGTTTGATCTCCAGTGCTGCTGTTTGTTTTGTTTTTTTGAGTGTGAGAAAGTAGCAGAGGAGGGGGGGAAAAAAGTTACGGAGGACCTTTTTCCCCCCCCCCTTCCTCAGTCCCAGAACTTGACAAGAAATTGGTAAGTTAAGTAATGAGGTAGTGCCAGTTCAAGTGTTCACTGCTCCTCGTCGGACGACTCCTGCGAAATGTTCACCTCCTCTTCGTCCTTCTGCTGCAAGACACAAAGCCGTTAGGAAGCGCTGGTCCACTTTGGGGTCTTTGGGTCAGAGCTACAGGGTGCCCAGGGACGCTGCATTTTGCATTGCTGCCATAGTAATGAGGCCGCTTAGATGAGAGGCAGGCTCGGCATTGGAGGCTGCAGAAATAGCAAGATGTAACTTAAACCTCAGCGCCCAAGCAGGCGACGAGGCCCAGGTAGATGCTGGGACTTTGCGGTCTGCTGCGTGGAGCTGTAGAGCAGCCCTGCGCTCTATTTTTTTGCATTCGCTTTCCTGGTCTCCCTTTTAAAGAGGGGAAACTGAGGCAGGATCCATTCCCATCTTTGGAAAGGGCTCTGAGCTCTATAGCCGGGCAACCCATAACTGAGCCGAGGGCAGGTAATGACAGGCAGGAATGGAATATAAGGAATATGTGCCCTGGGCCCCGCTTCTGGCACCAGCTAATAATGCCTCTGCCAGAAAAGCTCGTGGACTGGACTTCTCTGTGCCCTGAACATGGACCTCTGACTGGCTTCCCTGCCTCGAGACCCAGGGGAGGAGGAGATCGTGAACTGCATTTTGGTAAGTGCATCTCTTGTGCAAGTGCAGTGCCTGGTACCGTGGGGCCCTGAGCCTGGGAGGGTGCTTTTTAGATGGTGCCATAGGAGAAATATTTGAGGCCGGTAACTTTAGATGGACACAAGTAATCAGCTAACGAGTTTCCAGCTGCTGCCTGGACAGATGTCATGCCTCTCAGCTGCCGCCAGAGGCGACCCCGGCTGCAGCTGAAAGCTCAGGTTCAAACCAAGCTCCTTCCACCCCCTGCACACTCTGCGCCTCTATTGCTGGATTGAGAGTGAAGGCCTTTGCCCACCGCCCATTCGCTGCCCTGGGAGGCAAGCAGGACTCAATGCAGTGAGGCGCTCTGGTCTGCTTGGTGCCAAGAGTAAGGGCATAACAGCCCAGCTTGGGAATGCCGGCATCCCTCCTCCTCCTCCCTCCTTAAAGGAACACACACTTGAAAGCAGGATGAGTCAGCCTCACACTCAGCCATGAGTCAGCAGCCTCCACTTCCTCATGCTTCATTCATAAAAAAAAAATAATAATATGTAAGCCGGGCTGGAACGCGGCTGCCAATTCCGTACAAAGTGTTCCAGTGACACAGACCTCCGTGCTGAGGAAGTGACTGATGCTCCCTCTTCACCCTTCCCCGCTCCCGGGGCGTGAGCTGCGGTTCGCCTGCGAGCCAGGATGACCCAAAATAGCAAAGGGCTTTGGCAGCCCCCACCTGGGGAGTGAGGAAGCTGGCTGGAAAAGCCAACCGCTGCATGAAGCCAGGGTTCTCCTCCCGGGCATCCTCAGTGTGGACATGGTTTCCATTTAAACTCCGCTTCACTTGGGGAATCTCTGTAGGGAAGAGATTCCCAGGGTGTTTGTGCAAGAAGCTGCTAGGTTTCCATGCCCTAAGCCCCCTGTTTAGAGATGCACTTGGTGCTGGAAGGCTGGCTAGGCAGGCTTTACCACCACAGCTCTGTCAGGGCACCTTACTCTGTGTCTGCTGCAGCCCTACCCCCTCTCCAGCTGGGGCAATGCCTTGCAAGGCTGCTGGTATTGATGTCCCCCCTGCATGGTGCTTGTTGCAAGGGTTACTGGGTCTGGATGTGCAGGTGGTCTGACTAGTTCATTCATGATGGTTCCTTCTGGCTGTAAGGGTCTATGTTTCTTGGCCGGGAAGTCGGCCTTATCTTGGGCCTAATTTCTTGCAGCTGGTCCTAGCACTCGGTAGAGTGGCCCTGCTGCAAGGATATGTGAGGCAGGTTTCAGCCTCCCCTTCCTGTCACCCAAGCTGGGATTTGAACCTGCAGCTGTGCAGAGGGGGATGCCAAGGGCTCTTGGGGCAGGTAGACTGTTCTGTGTCGGCAGCAACAGCTCAAAAGGAGCGGGTAGTAAGTAACAGCATCTCTTGGCTTGTTGTGAAGTCTGCAATCCAGCCTCCCTTTGCTTCTGCCTACACGCAGGAGCCCCCGCACACTGCCTGGGTCCCTGCAGCCAACGCGCAGCAAGTGACTGTTGTGCGTTGGCAGAAATGCCAGGGGCTGAGAGTTGTGGCGGTGATATGCTAAGCCCCGCTGGAGATGCCAGCGGTCTGCTTTACCTTGCAGCTCTGACTGATGACTAAATTAAAATCGGGCTGCCCCAGGCACGCATTTTGGTGCTGTACAACGAAAAGGAAAAGGCGGCTTGCGGTAAGCAGATGGCACAGCCTGGACTCCTTGGGGCGCTGAGGGAAGGTAGAGAGAGCAGAAGAAAGGTGAAGACCGATTCCTGCTTGTAGGGTGCCCTGTTTTGCCTCTGCAAGAGGCATGTAGAGGCCGTTTTGCAGAGAGAGCAAAGTCAGCTGTGTGTGCCCTAGGGCCAAGGGCTCAAGGCTCCCTGGAGGGAGAAAGGGTCCAGCTGGAGGGAAGCTCGTGCTGCCGGGGCACTGCACATGGGGATGTGCTGGAGCCAGAGCTACTGAGTAGCCGCAATGTGCAGACGGGGCGGAGGAGGAAAGAGCAGCGGCAGAACAGATGGGAGCAGAGGGGAAAGCACCGCACACTCACTCGGCAGGAATGCCAACGTTGGTAACACCAGAAACCCTGGGGCAAGCCTGTGCCAGTGAGCGAGAGAACAAGCCGCTTCCTGTTAGTCACTGCTGGGGAACAGGGCAAGAACACGGAGCTCGTTAGAGCCATTAAGCGTTATTACAGGCTGCAGAGAGGTGGAGAAGCCAAAGGCTTTTTTTTTTTTTGTTTTCATTACCAGCTCCCTTACAGCGCAGCCCCCAGGAGCATCTGGCACTGAGGCGGCTGCATTCCCTCTGCTACACGAGAGCACGACTCCCAGGGCATCCAGCCTCCGGATGCACCTCCCACGATACGCTGCAACCTCCGGAAACAATTGTGCTGCGCTACATGTTGCCTCCGAGGATGCCCGGTGTGGAAAGGGGCCACTGAATCGCCTTGGCCGTTCTCCATCGGGGCCCTGGCGGGGAGATCTGACTGCCTCCCCTCTGCTGAGATCCTTCCAAGCTCCCAGCACTGAGAAGCAGCTGCCTTCGCTGCAGTGGGGCCATCACAGGGCAGAGCAATCTGGCACCGAGTCCTGCAAACCCCTGCAGCAAAGTGCATAGCCACCCAAAACGTCCTAGTTCTGCACAGGTTCGTGATGGCAGCAGAGAAACTGCAGACCGTCCCATCCCATCCCAGAAACAGGAGTCTGTGCTACAGAAGGCCCACCAGCAGCATAACGACTATGCCATGGAGCAGTCGCTATTCCACTCTCTCGGCATCAGTGCATGGATGGACTGGCCAGCGTCCCCGACCTGCTACCCCGCTAAACCAGTGCCAGCGCTGGGTCCGGGGTGGTGGAGCCAGCCCTGTGCAGAGGGCTGCAGCTCCTCTACGACACAGATGCCTCGGCCACGTTTCAAGCACCTGAGCCTGACTTTCCCCCATCACATTTCCCCCAGGGGCTGGTCCTGCATGCTCCGTGTTCCTGGGGGGGCCAGGGTGCGGACCTTGACCGTCAGAAGGAAAGGCTGGCAAAAATCAAAAAAGGCGAGATCCACTCACCGTTTTTTTGGGCCGGCCTCGAGGTTTTCTCCCAGGTGTCGCTGCAGCTTTCTGTGCAGACGGAGAATGTTACAGTCAGCGGGAGCCAGGCTACTAATGCCCCCCAACAAGGCATAGTGCCAAGGTGGCTGCCTGGGCCCTTGTTTATGAAGGTGGTTCCCCATCTACTGCTGCCAAACTCATCACAGTCTCTTCTGCTGGACCTGCGGTGACCCGAAGTGGGGCGGGGAGAGGGCTGTCTCCTTGTCTGCCCCCAGCACAGTGATTTTTTCCAGCATCAGATGGTTGGGCCCTGGCCCCGGCCCCATGACTCAAATCCGCAGGATATGAGTCACGTGTTTTCAAAACAGGTTTGAGACCCGCACGTACAAGCTGCTTTCCCTGGGTCTTGTGTATGTCTCAGCCTCCCCTCCAGCCCCCTTCCTTCCCCCCTAGCGTCTCAGCCCTGAGATGAGACATCCTCTCCAGCGTTTATATGTTCTGGCCTCAAAGGCTCCCTCAGAACGATGGGGGCTGAAAGAAGCTTGTAATTAAGGACGGGCTGCACAAAGCTTCGATTCCCCGATTTGATTTGGCCCCATTCGGTGGCCAAATCTCCGAATCCGAATCGCATCGGAGGACCCTTGAATCTCTCCAAGTAGATTCGGAAAGATTCGGAGACAGACACAGCTTTAACTGTTTTTTCTACATCGCTCTCGGTAGCAGGGGATTGTGGATGCTGTGGCGCAGGGAGCATCACGCAGGAGAGCGGGGGCTCCCTGGCACAGTCGGCAGCAGACCCAGAAGTGGACCACAAGCACTTCCAGTCCACTTCACTGCCCACTGGGGCCCCCTGGCCCTGGTGATGGGTGCCTCCTGGGTCTGGGGGGGCACTTGGGGTCCCCCCGTGGCCAACTGCCAAGCTGGGGGGCCCCCCCGTGCACTCCCTGGAAGTGCTTCCAGTTGACTTCTGGGTTCAGGGCCATGCATGCAGGGGCCCCGCCACTCCTGTGGGACGCTCCATGAGCCCCAGCATCACAGCGTTCACAAGCTGCGCTGGCGCCTCGAGGTATGTAGAAAAAACTTTAAAGCTATGTCTGTGGCCGAATCGCTGATTTGCTGAATCGGCATCAAATCGTCAGATTCAGCCGAATCAAATCGGGGATAGCGATCCAAATCAACGAATCGAATCACTGTCCCTGATTCAGGCTGAATCCAAATCAAATAGGGCCTGCTTTGCAGACCCCTAGGAATCATGGCCCAGCACATCCACATGCACCGGGAGCAAACCGGTGCCCCCAGGCAGGGTCCCTGCCACAGGTCCCACCCTGTCAGCTACAATACTTGGCCCTTCTGTGCATCACAAAGGCTCTGTAGATGCCTTCCCTGTCCTGGGCAAGGCTGTGAGGTGGGCTTGTATCCTTAGCCCTCTCCTACAGGAAGGGAAATTGAGGCACAGGGTGGGACAGGACTTGCTCTAGGTCATACGCTGCCGCAGAAGTGGGCTAGGACCCTGGAGTACTGACTCCCCCCCCCACATCTAACCTGCCCATTGACTGGGGCATCTCTCCCCTTGGCACGGCTCCCCTCTGAAGTCTAGAGGCACCCTTGCCCCTGCCCCTCCCCACAACCCGCCACAGGCTGAGCCCAAGGCAGGGAGTGCGCAGCAGCTGCAGGGCACGAGGCACGCCCCAGGCAGACGCTGGGATCGGGCAGGATGCTCCCTTTTTGCATTTGTGATCTGAAGAGGGCAGAACAGATGGCCAAGGCTTGGGCTAACCTGACGTACCTGCTGCAGTCACCTCCACCACCCAGCTGCATTAGGACAGCAGCTGGGCTTGTGCAGACCCCACCCCCCGGCAAGGCAACGGCCCTCCAACCGTTTGTCCCCAGAGCACAAGGCCATGGCCACCACGTCCATGCCTGCAGCCCCCCTACACCAAAGCTTTCTTTGGGGCATATTCTTGGTTTCCACCAGGCTACAAAAAAAAGTTGCGAGGGACGCGAGCCGGCTCCGCACATGCTCGATCCTGGCCAGATACCGAGGGCAGGAGACAGCCCCAGCCATCCTCTCCTCACCAAGCGGCCAGGCCCAGCGTGGAGCAGAGCCCAGCCTGTCCTGCCGAGTCCCAGCTGCCTGAACCGTGCACACAACGCCGCGCGCTTGCTCACACACCAGGAAGCAAATGTCACCAGCTGTCCTCTTTGGATGCAAAAGGCTTCACAGAACAGCCCTGCTCCGTGCGCCTGGGGGGGTGTATTCCTCCACCCACCACCTCTTTGTGCAGCTCCTGCTGCCACCTAGCCTCTTGCTTGGCAGGAGGGGCTGCGCGAGGGCTGTGACAGGCCTCCCAGCAGGGCAGCCAGCTCTGTGCGGGTAGCCATCAGGCCCCAGCCCCACAATCTAGCTGCTCTTCTGTCTTGTCCAGAACGTGCCCGGCTGCAGGGCTGGGCTAGACACCTCCCCCCGGAGCCTGGGGTGGGGAGATTCCCTTCCCCTCCATCCTCCAGGGACAGACACAATGTGGAACCTGAACTGCGGCATTGCCAGCCTCCTCGGGAGAAGGGCATCTTGGTACCCAGGCACCAGCAGGCCCCAGGTTGCCAAGGAGCAGCATCAATAAGCAACCATGGCAACTTAGAGGCAGCAAATGGGGAAAGGTCATGTGATGCCCTCTCCCCACCACCCCAGTACCTACCCTGCTTTTGGCAGTGGCCTTGTTTTTGCTCCCCTTTGGTCTGCCCCGTGGTCTCTTGGGGGTCGGGGCCTCGCTGGGTTCCTGCTGAAGAGAAAGGGCAAGGCTGTCAGCGGATGCCCGGATCTATGGTGATAAGCAAAGAGAAGAGAGACAGGAGTGAGCAAAGCCAAGCTGCAAAGCAGAGCAAGATCCCAGCTCCCTGCGCTCCCCACCCAAAAGCAGCTGTCCCGGAAACGGGGGGGTTCCCAGCAAGACGCAGCAGGCGGGCCCTTGGTGAGGGAGCCTGAAAAGCGTGGCCTCCCCACTCTTTTGGTGCCATTAGAAGCAATGGCAAGCATGCACTCCCCCCTGCTCCATCCAGATCCCTTGGGATACTGCAGTCGGAGAGGGAGCTGGTGTGGGGAGGGGCTGGCAGAGTCCGGCCGCAGCACCTGCAGGGTATTTGCACTGCAGCCCAAACATGCACTGCAGCTGTGCATGCTGGGACATGTAGTTTCAAAGGGCTGGTTCTTCGAATTTAAAGCGGATAGACAGTGAGGCTGGGCCGGTGCTTAGATGAGATGTGGCTGAATGTGAGCCACTCGCCTATGGACAGGAAGCACCAGCTGCTGCGTTGGAGTGGGTAGGGGAACGGATCAGACGGGGGCTACCTGAATTGAGGGACCTAACCTGGTGTGGTGTGGAGTGGAGGGAGGGAAGCAGATCAGCTTGCCCAAAAGAAGCTAAATGCTTCCCCCCCAGATTTGGAGCAGAAGAGGCAACGCTCTGGGAATGATCTTGGAGACATCGGAAAACCCTTCCCCTGCAGAAAATGCAATCAATCGCCCCAGCTTCAGGGTCAAGAGGGGATCGCACTGAACATGCTAGTGTTGAAACCCTAATGCTGTGAGACTCATAAAAATGTTGTGAATTATGCATTCTGCTAGGAGACATGAGCATCGCAGCTACAGTTTCTAATACCCCGTCGCTTGCTGTTTATAGCTGCGGCTATTAGCAAACCAGTAATCCAACACCGGCAGCCCTGCCCCCAGCCCCGCAGAGTGATGGCCTCCTTCCACCAATCTGAGCCCTGCCAGGCAAATATTCCTGCCGCCGGAAAAGGAAGGAGGTGGGAGTTGCTGGCTCAGGTTGGTTAGAAGGTACCAGGGGTCAGTTTCTGACCTGGGCTGGTTGGTGTAAATCCAGAGCAACTCCACTGACAGAGATAAGAGCTGAGCTCTGAGCTTTCCCATGATATGTGCTCTGGGTATGTCAGCTTTCCCATGATATGCACTTTGGGTATGTCAGCTTTCCCTCATTTTGTGCTAAGGGTAATTAGGCTATTGCTACAGCAATAGCACATCAGGGAGATTCCAGTGTCCAGGGCAGGGCTCTGCTACTGGAACAGGTTTCACTTCAGGCCTGGCCACTGATTCACTGTACAGCCCTCAGCAAGTCTCTTAATAACACCTCCAACATATGGGCTTTATAAAGGAAAGGTGTCAGTCAATCATCCCCGCCTGAACACAAGCGAAGGGGAAGGTAGGATGCTAATTAATTGCTGCAGTTCCACACAGCAGGGAGAAACCCTCTGGGTCCCTTCCTCATATTACTCCTCAAGCGGCCCAAGTGGTTGTTTCAGGGTGGAACAGGGATGAAGCCACCAGCCTGTGCATCAGGACTTGTATTTGGGGAATTTAGACCCAGGCAAAATCCCCCTGCTTCAGCAGAACCGGCTGGAGCTTGAGTAGCACCCAGCTGCTTCCATCAGCACTGGTTGCATTTGCTTTTCAGCAGGGTCAATCGACATGACTGCAACAAAGAGCTCACCTGCAGAAGCCTTGTCTGCGCTATAGCTCCTAGGTCAGCTAAGCCAGTGATGGGCTTGGTAGGATTCACTTACTAAATGCACCTGCTGTAGGGTCTCACAGATTGTGATCGGGGCAGCGTTTAGCTGGAGCGTTCTGAGCCCCTCGGGCCTGGCAGCGAGGACAGAATTAAATACCCGTAGCACCAAGTAACTGATGAATTCAATACAGTGCTACTGACCTGGATAGGCTCTTTCTGGGACAGATGCTGCTGCTGTAACAGCTGAGCAGGAGGGGGTGCTTTGGTAAGGAAATTCTGCTAGGCCCTTTCCCTGGGAGAAGTCCTATAGGTCTTTGCTGTCCGTGTACAGCAAACAGAGCTGTGGTTTGCATCCACAAGAAGAGCTGTGAGTGCTGTTCACCTCTGCCAGGCTGAGCCCAACATGTGGGAGTCAGACTGTGACTTGAACACCAGTAAGTGGCTCTGCAGCTCAGGCTGTTTCCTCATCCTTGGGGAAGGAGTTGCCGTGTTCCTTGTTTATGCCTTAATACTTCTCCCCGCTGCCTGGCTTTTTCCCGTGGCCCTGGTAGGCCACTCAAGGTGTGGAAGGTGCATTGCTCTTTTTGCCCTCTCTACTAGTGATTTTTTTTTTCCCTTTATGCCAGGCATGCTGCAGAGACCCCTGAGCTAGCTCAGTATCCACTAGCTTTGCACAGGAAGCAGCATAATTGCAATGTTGTACAAAGGCAGCTCTGCACCTCCTGTTCCAGAAATGTGTGCGCGCGCATGTGTAAAGCTGCAGCATGATGCTTGTGGGAACGGGTAGGTTAGGGGTCAGCTACTGAGTATGTTAGTGGTACAGCTCGGAAGAGATTTGCAAGCCCTGACATCTCAACCCTGTGCCCTGCCTGCCAGACCATGCTGAGGGGGGTCAAGAAGAGAGGTATCTCCAGGGCTGAACTTAACTCATGGAAATGCCTTTCCTCCCTGTAGATGTCCAGCACCAAAGCTCTCCCAGCCTCTAGAGCAGGGTGGAAGAAAACAATTCTCTGTACCTGCGGCTTCTTCCTGGGCCGGCCCCGTCCTCTCTTCTCGGAGACATCCTTCTCCTGTTTCGAAGCCAGGGGTTGGCTGGATTTTGCACTGGATTCACTCATTTTTCTATCTTCTGGGTCATGCAAGAGAGAAGACGGGAGGGTAAGTCAGTCGCATTTTCTATGTGACATGGATATAATGCTTTCTCTGTGACCTGGGTTGTGTAGGTGACTCTCATCCCTGCTTCACTGATGGGAGGGAGCTGAAGCCCAAGGAAGGGAAGAGTGAGTTGTTGAGGGTCCTATGCCCAGTTGGTGAATGAGCGATGAATAGGATTGTCATGGTCCAGCTCCTTCCCTCAGCCCTGCGTCACCCTGTCCTGGTTGTCCCCTCTTGCCTGCCCATGCTGGACAGTGCTATCTAGGCCCCTCCAGTTGGTGTGACCTCCTGGGAGCGGGCTGCTCAAGTGTCCACTCCTTTGTACATTCAGTTTGCACCCCTTTTCCTCCACTGCTGCATTGCATTATGGAGCAGTAGGACAGGGAGGTCTGGGGTTTCCTTCAGACTGTGAAGGCTTTTGGTCTCCTCTTTTTTTTTGTCTGATGTGCTAATGAGAGGGGAGAGCAAGTTGTCACCAGGGATCCTGGTTTTCTCTGATTTAAAAAAAAAAATGCAAATTCTCTGATTAAAAAAAATGCAAACTCAGTTATTAAAATTAAAGGCCTCCCAGCCCTGCTGGAGGGGGGCCCCCAGCTGCCAGGGCTATGGGGCCAGGGCCCCAGGTCCGCAGTCCCCTGCCCCCAGTAGAAGGTAACGGCTGCTGCAGCAGGAGCAGGAGCCGGCTCCCCCGCTACTGCTGCCTGCTGGCAGGGGCTGGCTCCAGTGCACAGTCGAGGGGGAGCTGTGCCCCCCAGATCTGTGTGCATGGGGTAGGGGTTGGGTGCAAGCTGCAGACTCATGCTTCCCACCCTGCTGCCCTCCCCTGCGGCCTCCGCAGCGCAGCGCACGCAACCTGGTGCGGGGAGGCGCAGGACAGCTGCCGGCCGTGGCGAGCTCCGCGCTGCCCGGGCCATCTCCCTTGCGTGCACGAGGGGAAGCAGCGCAGGGTTGCGCCCCTCACCGCTGCTCCCGTGCACGCAGGGGAGGTGTGGCCCGGGCAGCGTGGAGCTCCATGGGGGGCCTCTTGCTCCCGCAGCCATGCACCAACGCCCTGCCCCACTGGCTCTTCCCCCAGCCCTAGCAGACACCCTGACCTGCCAGGGGTGGCCCCCCACCCCACTTACTTCCCAGGCTCCAGGAAGCAAAATGAGCCTGATCCAAGCCTGGGGGGAGTGAGAGCCTCAGGCCCTGCCCCTCTCCTTCCCTCCTCCTCGGGGCAGGCCTGGGGGTTTCCCGCTCTTTTTGCAATTACCGCCTGCTGCCTGCAACTCTGCCCACCTGCAGAGCTCTTTGCAAAAGCGGAGAATCTGCAGGTTCCTCTGCTAAAATCAGGAAAATCCATTTTTTTTCCTCTGCTAAAATCAGGAAAATCCATGGTTTTCTCTGTTTTCCCGTGGGAAATGGAGAACCCGGATCCCTGGTGATGCACAGGATTGTCATGGTCCAGCTCCTTTTCCCCCAGCTCTGCGTCACCCTGTCCTGGTTGTCCCCTCTCGCCCGCCCGCACTGGACAGCATTATCCAGGCCCCTCCAGTCGGTATGACCTCCTGGGAGGGGGCTTCTTGGTGTCCACTCCCAGCTTTCACCCCTTTTCCTCCACTGTTGTGTTGCATTTGGAGCAGCAGGGCAAGGAGGTTTCCTCCACACTGAAGGCTTTTGGTCTCCTCCTTTTTGTCTGATGTGCTAATGAGAAGGGAGAGCAGCTTATCATGGTTGCACAGGAACGGGGGGCTGGAAGGGACTGGAGTTCATCCCCTGTGCCCGTGGGCACCCACCTTATTATAGCCCTTTCCTGAGCTGATGGAGCTGCTGCCCCTGAAAGAGAGATGGGTCCTGCCCTAGATACTCCTACAGCTGCTCCAGAACCTCAGCCGTTGGGTGCTCACAAACCTCCTCCTAACCCTGCAGCCTATATTTACTCCTGGTTGACTTGCACCGTGCTGCAGTCAGCATGGTGGCTGTCCTTTTGTCTGGACCCCGCTGAGCTCCAGTCTGAGTTGGAGCCCTGTGAAGCCCACCTGGCTCTTATCCCAAATCTCCGTGTAGTCAGAAGCGGCCTCCGACTCCATGCGTTTCAAGGTCGAGTCTCTGGGGGAATTGGGCTTTCTTTTTTTCTAAACAAGCCCCCCACAGATGCTCTGTGAAGCACCCAGTGATAGAGGGTGTTTTTGAAAACCTGGCTGCAGCAGGGTACCACGTTGCCTAGCTGAGGGGGGCTTGGGTGTGGCGAAGGGGTGTTGGGAGCACATGGTCTCCCAACTGGGAGGCGGGGGAATATGTGATTTAATGTACTGTCCGGTGCTTTGGGCTGAGGCCGGTTTTGTGCAGCTCTGAACGGAGGGAAGGATGCCACTGCACCACGTGGCGCTCTAAGCGTATGTGCCACGGAGAACAAGCCTGCTGTGGCAGGTAGGACTGTACCAGGCCTATCTTCTGGGGGGGACCCTGCGCCACGCGTCGACCCATGCGCCGGGCAGTGCATCCTTTCCTGTCTCGGCTGCGCTTTCTCTGCATTGCTTCTGTGCTGCGGTCCCGTTGCTTTCTAATACGTGTATTGCTGAGATCAGGGCCCTGCTCTGCTAGGTGCTGTACAAAAGCCACAGGAAGTAAGGGTTCAACCCCTGCGGAGGGCAGTCGACGGGACAAGCCAAATAGTTTTAACCAAGCCACTCTACTGCTGGGCAAGCAGAGGCACAGATGGAAGAGGTGACATGTCCAAGGTTATGCGGAGAGCCCAGAAGGGGCCTTAACCTCCAGGCCATCTTCTCACTCTGATGCTTACACTACTCCCAGTAAAACCCCACCCAGCTACAGTGTTAATATTTTCTGGTTCAACTACCTCTGTTACCCCAAATCTCTGCACCCTGTGGACTGTCCACAGCTGGATCTTTAATGTGGGGACAGCAAACTGCACCCTGCAGTAGCCTTTTCTATTTTTTTAGTAGATTCTGCCAGAAGCTAGGAAGAGAGGGGTTTCACAGGAACAGGCCGTGCCTGTCGAGTAAAAACCTGCCTGTCCTAATCCTGCAGCCAGCAAGGCCTCCTGTTCAGAAATCCTGCTCTGCTCCCAGCTTTTCTCGGCTGACTGAAAAATGCCACTTTACCGCAGCTCACGCACAATTCATGGTGCCCTCTCCAAGGATGGTCATCGTGGACCTGGCCAGAGCAAGGCACCACCGAGAAGCTGCTTTCCATCCCCCCTGGCACCAGGGAGGAGTTTGCAGTACAGCAGGGAGCTGACACCAGATTGCTGGATTTGTGGCCTGCTGTTATCACCGTTACTTCATGTGACCGAAGCCAGCAGCGACTCCAGCGCCGACCAAGAACAAGATCGGGCCCCCTATGCCCACGTCTTAAAACTTCGCTTCATCTAGTGGAGGTGCCAGCTGATGGGGCCAAAGAAGCTCGGGCAGTCCCTAACTTTGTGCAAACAAGGCCATGGGTCAAACCTAAGATGCATGGGATGGTTCCCTGGTCAAAGATGCCCGGCAGGACCTCCGTGTGCCAAAAGTTGGAAGCTTTAATGTACTATCACGCATACGTTTTTATAGATTATGCCAAATAGAGGCCAGCTGTTTAGCTTGGTGATTCTCAGCCGGGGTGTAGTAGCTCTCTGAGGTGCCTTGGGATCCTTTCAAGAGTGCTCTGGGGTGGGCAAACGTCCTTCAGCAGATCAGCCCAGAGACATCAAGCAGGGATGCTTAGTGTTAAAAACGCTCTACTCCATTGTGGTCTCCCTGAGTTGTCTGCAAACAGAAGACTAGTCTTTTCTGTCTGGAAAAGGGTTTCCTGAGGGGGTCCTGTCTAACGGAGTTGAGAACTGACCTTCTGCCTAACACGGGCCTTCGGGCTGCATCCAGGGATGCCTGCATTCAGCCCAGAGCTAGACCAGAGGATGGTTTATGTCAGAGTATCATCAAAGACCCCAAACCAGCAGGCACCGTGCTATGCCCCGGGCGTGCATCCATGCATGGACACACGCAGGCATGCCGAAGGGCTGCTAACTTGCCCCACTTCCCAGCAGCTGCAGAAACAGAAAGGGGGCTCGGTCCCTACTGCTCACTCTTTAAGACTGAGGCTGCCCAACTACTAACCACGGTTGAGGCATCTTTTGTGCCAGTGGCTCCGAACCAACAGCTCAGTCAATGAAGAAACAGTGTTAAAACCATTGTAGTCCCCAGCCCAAACTCCTCCATGCTGGCCTGGGACTCAATCTGGCAAGCCCTTACATTGAGATGCGTGCAGAGTCAAATCCCCAAGCTCAGCCTGGGAGGTTAAAGGCTCAATGCTCCTTCCCCTTATTGCTCACAAGGTTTAAAATGCCTGCTCTTTCAGAAGGTAAGTCGCTTGCTACCAGCGCTTGGAATAATCCCACCTCCTAGTCGGCAGATACCAGAACAGGTCCAATTCAGAAAGCATCAGCAAGCAGCTGGGGCCTGAAACCTGTGAGCAGTGAAAGGCATCAGATCTCACCAAAACAACGAGCCCCTCCAGCCCCCAGACAAGACTGTCAAAATAAATCTGTTCCCAAACAGTTTTTTGGCCTCAGCTACAGCTGACTGCTTGCAAAAGTCTCCTCCGAAGCGGTGGTCTATCTGGGAAAGCTATTGGGAATAATATAGGGTATGAGTTTCAAGTTGAATAAACAGTCCAGATTAAGATGAGAGGGTCTGTTGGCACTCTAGTATTTTTTTTTTCTCTTCACTGTGAATTCATTGATTTGAGTAAACGCCCAGTCAAAATGACTCCACAAACCTTTGGGACTTATCTAAAAGCTAAAGCATGCAGAACCCTTGGACTCCCTGCCTTCTCGCGCCAACTTGGGTGATGTGTCCTGTCTTAGGACCCCTGTCCTGTTTGTGCGATATGTGATGCTGTCCTCTGGTACGGGACGGTGCTCATTCTCACCTTTTTGTCCATATTATGACCCCTTTCCCTTCTCCCATTCATCCAGAAGGAAAGAGGGCATTTACTACCCCCAGGGAGAGAACCCCTCTTAATGGGTTAATGGCACTGGTTGTTAGGAATTGGTTCTGATTCAATTAGGGTTGAAAACTGGTTTTGAGCATGGCAAAATGCTTCCCACTGCTCTCAACTCCAATAATGCAGCGGATCTAAAAGCATCCCCCCCACCCATGAAAACTAATGCCTGGTACAGTTACTCCAGCAAAAAATGTCGGCTTCCTCTGTTTCCAAGGAAGCGTTATTGTACTATCATATACGGCAGGCATCACTGGTACCTTTGCCACCATAGCCCACAACAGCCAAGTTGGGGAGTTCAGGCCTCTAAAGGAGTCCCATACTGAAATGAAAATCTAAGCAAGCCTGCCCTCCCCAACATGTCCTGAATACGCAGACCTTTGAGGGTTTTTTTTTTTTTTTT